CAGGCATAGCAGGCACTACAACTGCATGTGGCTAAAGCAAACTCCCTGAATTCATGAAGTTTCCATTCAACAAATAAGATAGGAATTGCCAAGGATGCTGTGCTGGACCACCCAGAGCTCACCTTCAGAATAAAAACCAGTGAACTGTATATCTGGGGTGGATTTTAAGGTATGTGAATGATAATTTTTTTTATAAATAAAAACTGGAAAAAAGTTAAGACTAAAAAGATACAATAAAGGCAACCTAGAAGTTCTTTGTGACCTTTGGTGAGATTAAAAAGCAAGAATCATCAAAGAAAAGTCTGATACATTGAATAAAAAAAAAGTAGTCAAAAGATATCATAGGGAAATGAAAATACAAGTTACAGATTGGGAAAAATATTTCTTATAAGGAATTTTGTATACTTTACATATATATCTTATACATAAGGAATTTCAAAGTACATTTCTTATAAGGAATTTATATTTAGAATATAAAATGAACTCTCTCTTTTTAAAAGAACTATCTTTTGAAAATAAAAATACAGTTAAAAAAAAAAGGGACCCAAGATCAGAACAGAGAACTCATTGCAGAAAAGCCATGGATGGCAATAAATGCATGAAAGGTTCTCAACATCATTAGTCATCCAGGAAATGCAAATGAAAACCACACAGAGAAACCACATACCACATTCTCATAGGATGGTTCAGCTTTTTTAAACTGACCATATTCTTTTTTTAACAACCACTGCTGAAGAGGTATAACAACTGGAACTCTCATACAGGGTTGGCAAACAAAAACTCAGTGTCATGGGGGTCCATTCGCAGTCAGAGTGACCATACAGGCCACGGGGGAGTTGCACCTGTGTGTTTCTCGACTGTGAATCCTTAAGGGAATAGAAAGTCTCATCTTTCTCCTGGGGAGTAGCTTGAGGTAGATAGCCCAATGCATAACTCATTACCCTACCAGGGCTCAGGCAACCACTTAAGAAAACAATTTGGTAATTTCTTATAAAGTTAAACATACACTTAGCACATGACCTAACAATCCTACTCATAGGTATTTATTTATTATACAAAGTAAATGAAAACATAGATCTGTATAAGCATGTTCATAGCAGAGGTATTCACAACTCTGAGACAGGTACATCAACTGGTAAGCAAACAAACTGGGCACGGACAAACAATGGGATTCAGCTCAGCTATACAAAAGAATGAACTACTGATGCCCACAACAAGAGAAAAAATGTCAAACTCTATGTGAATGTGCCAGATATAAAATCTCCCACACTGTATCATCCCTTTTATATGAACAGGGAAAAACATAAAAACCCTTCTCTCACTCATTCCATTTGTATGCAAAAGGAAAAACTATAAAAATAGGAACCAGATCAGAGGTTGCCAGGGACTGGGGTGGGGCTGGGTTGAGTGCACTTGGGCACTAGAGAAAGTCTAAGGGTGAAGAAAATGTTAGATATCGTGACTGTGGTGACTGCTACACAACTGAACATAACTACAAAATTTAATTAAACTGTACACATAGAAAGAATAAATTTTATTGTATATAAATAATACCTTAACATTCGAACGTTACTCTTTAAGGCCCTTGTCTGATAGGTCAGGAGAAAGACAGGGCCCTCTACTCCAACCGAGTTAGTCTCAGAAACCCACGGGCAGGTCTACTCTGTCCTACAAGGCCGCTAGGAGTTGGGATGGACTGCGTGACAGTGAGCGAGATAAGATCTAATAGCTACTATGCTCTAGGGTCTATAGATTCTAAAATATCTGGGGGGGGGGGGGCAATGGGTGAAAGATCGGCAATGTTTGAATAATTATTAAAGATAGAAAAGAGGGGACTTATATTGTTGTTTGTATGCTTTTGTTTTGAAATATTTTAAATGTTCAGTAAAACTTAAGATTAATCGGACTTTGAGTGGAAAACTGGTGGGAAGAAAGTCAAAGTGTGAAGAAACTTTACCTGGAAGAAAAGAAAACGGACTGCAACAACAGGAAGGCTGGACGCCAGGCGAGAAGGTGGGTGGTACAGACAGTCTTGCGGGGGTTCAAAAATAGAAAGACAGCACTCAAGTTCACAGACTCCAAAGCCAAATGACCCAGGTTCAAAACTAAGCATCATGGCTTCCTAGTTCTAAACTCTGAGAAGATCACTCTCCTTGTTATAGAATGGTCATAAAAAACGGTACCTACCTCATGGCATTAAGACAGAAATTAATAAATCAACCCACAGAGAGTAATTTCAACGTACCTAAGCTGATGGCACAGTGGGTCCTCAGGCTGCAAGGTAAGTAGTTTGAAACCAGCAGCTGCACTGCAGGAAAACGATGAGGCTATCTGCTCCTGTCAAAAGTTCCAGGCTCAGCAGCCCCCAGAGGCAGCTCTGCCCTGTCCTATTGGGCTGCTAGGAGTCAGAATTAACTTGACAGCAGTGAGAAGCTCTGGATGCTAACCATGGGGTGGGCAGTTCAGGCCTACCAGCTGCTGTGTGGGAGAAAGCTAAGGCTGTCTGCGTCTCTAAAGAGCTACAGCCTCGGGAACTACCTAGAGCCGTGGTTCTCAACCTTCCCAATGCTGGGACCCTTTCATACAGTTCCTCATGGGGTGGGGACCCCCAACCATACAATTATTTTTGTTGCTACTTCATCACTGTCATTTTGCTACTGTTAGGAATCGGGCGACCCCTGTGAAAGGGTCGCTCGACCCCCAAAGGGGTTACAACCCACAGGTTGAGACTGCTGATCTAGAGGGTCACTATGAGTTAGAATAAATTCAATGATGGTGAGATTAAGTTAAATATTAGGTGTTGTTATTGTAATAATGAATGTAAAATTCACATAATCTGTGGTCACACAGTTTGATAAATTATATGGCTCTTTTCCGTGTGTGCATGCGTGTGTGTGTTTCTGTACAAATGGACACGGTGGGGACAGAAGATAGAACCCAAACTAAAATCCATAGATTTGATCATATAAAGATGGCATAATTCTGCCCAATATGACTTTCAACTGATTCCTAAAAAGGGATCTCATTTTCTCTTGTCTTTGAAAATTTCTAGGCCAGCAGTCTCAACCTGTGGGTCACGACCCCTTTGGGGGTCAAACGACCCTTTCACAGGGGTTGCCCGATTTATAACAGTAGCAAAATTATGGTTGTGAAGTAGCAAGGAAAATAATTTTATGGTTTGGAGTCACCACAACATGAGGAACTGCATTAAAGGGTCACAGCATTAGGAAGGTTGAGAACCACTGCTCTAGGCTCTCTGTAACACAGGCAACAAATTCCCTTACCCTGCAGCATTTGGCACATCTCAAATCAGTTTTGAGAGCCTTCGTTCCATTTATCAGGCATCTTCTATAGTCCACGCTCTTTCCTGTTTCTAGTCTTATGGTGAATTTCTAAATGATGAAAACTTTGAAAGATTGAGGCCTTACCCATCAGTTGGCCTTTAAAATCCTATAGGCCTATCTTTGAAAAACAAAAAAGCACCCAGTACCTCCCTTCTCTGTGCCCACGAATGAAAGCTAAAGGGAATAAATACAGTGGTCACCTCTATTTTCCCTTTTTCAAAAAATTCAAATCTTCTGCTCCCCAAGGATCCTCCTTCCTTCTTTCATTGAAAGGAAGTACTGTCTTCCTCAAAATAGGCTCTGAAACAAAAATTTGCCTAATTTCATTTCAACCTAAACATCTGAAAGGAAAATGGTGGCATAAAAAACAGAGGCCCTTCAAGCACTCCCTGAATGCAAGAACACTTTGTTCTATTAAACTGGTATTCCATGATGCTCACCTTCCTGACACGATCGCTGAAGATAAGCAAATGCTTGAAGGTGAACAAGCGGCCATCTAGCTCAGAAGCAACAAAGCCCACTTGGAAGAAGCACACCAGCCTGTATGATCACGAGGTGTCGAAGGGATGAGGTATCAGGCATCAAAGAGCAAAAAATCATATCATTGTAGAATGAGGGGGAGTCCATCTGTAGGCAACTGGACACCCCCTTACATAAGGGTTGTGGGGAGGAGACAAGCCAGTCAGGGTGTGATGTAGCAACGATGAAACATACAACTTTCCTCGAGTTCTTAAAGGCTTCCTCCCCACCCACTATCGTGATCTCAATTCTACCTTACAAATCCGGCTAGACCAGAGGATGTACACTGGTACAGATAGGAACTGGAAACACAGGGAATCCAGGGCAGATCAACCCTTCAGGACCAGTGGTGAGAGTGGCGATACCGGGAGGTGGAAGGAAGGTGGGTAGAAATGGGGAAACGATGACAAGGATCTACATATAACCTCCTCCCTGGGGGACGGACAATAGAAAAGTGGGTGAAGGGAGACTTTGGACAGTGTGATATGACAAAATAATAATAATTTATAAGTTATCAAGGGCTCATGGGGGAGAGGGGAAAATGAGGCTCAAGTAGAAAGAAAATGTTTTGAGAATGATGATGGCAACAAAAGTACAAATGTGTTTGACACAATGGATGGATATATGGATTGTAATAAGAGTTGTATGAGCCCCAATGAAATGATTTTAAAAAAATGAACAAAAATGAAAACCAAGTTTTTGTTTCTGACACTTTTTATTTACTGTTAATTTCTAATACTGCCAAAATCTAAACATTAGTGCCTTACATACAAAGGATTAGAGTGAAGAAAAGGCAATCTGATTCCTTCAAATATGTTGATACGTATTCTAAACAGCGAAAGTTAAGACATCGATTCAGTAAACCAAGTTCCTGGACATTACTACCTAATAATTATGCTAAACAGTAGGGAAAGTATGCCGGTTTCTTTCAGAAGTATGTTCAATACTCTTAATATTCAGTTGGCTCAGCTATTTTGGTTGCCTTTAAAAGCTACTTAGTTTTATATGATAGCAAAACTGCATTACTGGTGGTATTTCTAAACAAAATCAAATTTCATAAACAGAAAATGAAATTGGGAAACCCCAAAACACATGCAAAGGGAAAAGAGCCTCTTCAGACTATGGGAAGGCACCTACCTCATGTACTAGAGCAAGGGAAGTCTGCTTGAAACTTCGCCCTCTACTGGCCATCAATCTATTCAACGGTTTGCCATCTTTACCCTGATACATCGAGACATCATAACAAAACAACATACCACCTTGAAACAAAAATAGGAAACATAAAAAATGTTTATGATAAAAATTCATTACATTCTCAAGAATACAGACTTAATCTATCTGAAGAGGGAGATTTAGTAATTTAATGAGAATTTGCTGAGCAAATTATGGTTTTTGACTACTGGTCTATAAGGAAAGACAGAAGAGATACCTAAAAGTTATTTTATTTAAAATATCTTATTTATAAATTAGTAAGTTTATGAATTAGTCATAAGTGTATTATTTGTTTGCAAATAAATTGAAAATAGATAAATGAACAGATTTATGGCTGTTATAAATGCTCATTTAAAATTTTATGAGCAGTTACCTCTAGAGTTTATAGTGCTTTTAAAAATTAAATAAAAATGCTTGAGCATATTCATCTTCATAAATTCTCAGTAACAAGGTTCTTCTGGTTTCTCCACACACGTGATTAAAGGGTGAAGCTGAAACCACCCAAAGGAAGGACCTAGCTCTCCCAAATCCACTCAGGACTCCTGAGACTGCATCTGAATCCTTGCAACCACATATATTCATCCTCCCTCTTCTCGTCTTTCCGTCTACTTCTCCTTCTTGCCCTCACTCTGGTTGGCTAGGTGCCAACTGAGATTCCAGCTTCAACCCACCCTCAAAGAGAGCGGAAAACAATGGCAGTCAGGCCAGTGCAGTAGAATGACAGGGTAATTTTGGAAACTACCTGGGGAATTCTGACACATCCAGAACTTCTGTGACTGTGGATTTGCCTGTTTCTTCTTTCAGTTCTGTAAATTTCTGGCTTATATATTTTTAAGCTATATTATTGAGTGTCCATTAATTAGTCATGTTCTGACTGAAATGGCTTTATCTTCATAGAATGCTGCCTTCATTTCGAGCTTCTTCAGGTGTCTGGTACTTTTTTGTTGAATGTTGGACATGAAAAAAACCATAGAGGCTCTAATGAGTTTCTCCTCTCCTCTGTTAAGCAGGTGAAGTGGAGGTCTGATCATCTCAATTTAATCAGGAAGTGAGCTGGCTCAGGCTTGAGCCCTGGTGGTGTAGCTGTAATTAAGCACTTGGTGGTAAGTACTCACCCACTCACTGCTCTGCCAGAGAAAAAAATGTGCCAGTCTGGTTCTGGCAACCTTTGAAACCTATGGGGCTGCTCTACTCTGCCCCACAGTGGTGCGAATGGGTTGGAATCAACTCAATGACAACCGACCTTGGTTTGGGTTTACAGTGCCAGTAAATGGCAGCACAGACCTGGTCCACCCCTTTCCTTAAGACATGCTTCCTCTAGCATTTTCAAGGATGGTCTAGGAAGTCCTGAGGGGTTGTGGGAAATCTGGGTGGTTTCAGTTTAGCGCTTTAGTTTCCCATCTGATAGACTTTCAACATTTAGCCAATATCTTGGAGAAACAAGCTGTGCATTTGAGGCTCCTCAAGTCCAGAGTAGCATCACTCCAGCATCCCGCTAATGCTGAGACCTCTGTGGTTTATCACCTCTCACACCAGCATCCTGCCAAGTCAAGCCCCCATTTTCAGCCTGCAGCAATGGCCAGAATTCATCGTACACCCAGGTGGAAGCAGCTGTGGAGCTCCACGATCAATTTCTCATATGTGTGCTCTGTTTCCAGGGCCCCGCTCCTAGCTCTTCTCTGTTTCCTAAGGACCACATGACTGAAGGAGATTGTCAAATCTGCCAGAAGCAAGGAGTCTACTCATTGGCCTTCTGTGAGGGCTCAACGTTAGGAAAACGTTTTATGCTGAAAGGTCTCTACTTTGTCACTCTGTATAATCATTAAAAGTGCTGCTGCATTTCCTGTTCGCCAGCAAGTCTCTGCCTGTGGCAATCCCCAGTCCGTAGTCTGTGATGGGATTCACTAAATGTTCTTTTTTTAAAAAAGGAATTTTCTCCCTGTTCTGGAATTTTAGTCCCTTTATTCATCATGCCTTCCGATGTCTTTTCAAATGGGATTTTTAAATTTCTGTAACTTATACAGCTTTGTCTAGTTGTGTTCTTGCCATGGCTTTTTCTGTCTTGGAAGGAGAAGTTGAGTCATCATATTAAAAACCTGCACTTTGATACTACCCACTCACCTGCAAGGCCAGGTTTCAATCCTGGTTGTTTGTTGGTTTCATACATTTTCAACATAAAATTAGGGATTCCTGCAATGGTCTTTCCCTGATCTGCACGGACGCCTCCTCTTAAAGCCGAGTGGTACACCCCGCGGGGCATATTCACCATTTCTTGCTTCACAAGTGACGTAAAAAATTCCTCCAAAGCTGTAGGGGATAAAAGTAAATAAACCCAAGGGAAACTTTCATTCTTAACCTGTAGAGAAAAAACGTGGCTATATTCCAGAGTGATATAACAAGGCAAACATGAATCTCGCAATTTCATACCTTCATCATCTTTTTTGAGTCTTTCCCAAATCAGAACATGGCACCTTAATCACTGACACTTAAAATTCTAGGAGTCTTTTTTAATTCGCCCCCTTCCCCTCACCCATCACTCTCACTCACTAGCAAGTCCTTCTAGATCAGTGGTTCTCAACCTTCCTAATGCCACGACTCTTTAATACAGTTCCTCATGTTGTGGTGACCCCCAACCACAACATTATTTTCGTTATTACTTCCTAACTGTAATTTTGCTATTGTTATGAACCAGGTGACCCTGTGAGCGGGTTGTTCGACCCCCAAAGGGGGTCTCTGGACAAGTGGAATATGCAAACATCAGTCTCTATAACCCTGAGACCAAAAGAACTATCTCAACACACAGGTTGAGAACCGCTGTTCTAGATCTACCTTCAAATACATCCTCATTCCATCCATCTCCTACTTGGCTAGTCATCATCCTCCCTCACTCTCACTGCAGAACAAACCAGTGTCTCCCTGTCATTGCGGGGTGGCCATCCCTAGAACCTATCCTCTACCCCAAAGCCAGAACATTAGCTGGCTCCCCAAAATCTTCCAAGAGTTTTTCACTGTATATAGAAGAACCTCAAACTTCTGACTGTGTGCTGGCCTGTGGTCCAGGATCACAGTCTGGGGGAGGCTATGCTATGTCACTTGGCATAACCGAGTGCACACAAAGATAGTGTCCCATAGCCTACTTGGGTGAGTAGTAACTGCTCTTTAAAAAGCTCCCAAGGGAACCGATTACAAGGAACTATGTGACCTCCTCCCTGGGGGACAGACAACCGAAAAGTGGATGAAGGGAGACGTCGGACAGGGCAAGATATGACAAAATACCCATTTATAAACTATCAAGGGCTCATGAGGGAGGGGGGAGCGGGGAAGGAGGGGAAAAATGAGGACCTAATGTCGAGGGTTTAAGTGGAGAGAAAATGTTTTGAGAATGATATAAAAATGCGCTTTACACAATTGATGTGTGTATGGATTGCGATAACAGTTGTATGAGCCCCTAATAAAATGTTAAAAAAACAAACAAGCAAACAAATAAAATAAAATAAAAAGCTCCCAAATGACCATCTAACAGGCAACATTTGTTTCTCCCTGTCCAGAGGGAGGAGGAGGAAGGAAAACTGCATATGCAGGCAAACAATGAATCCAGTAGGCTAGACCACGGGTTGGCAAACTGCGGCTCTTGAGCCGTAGGTAGCTTTCAGTACATACCTGTGGCTCTGAAGTAAAACGGAACAATTTTAAAAGCAATGGTAATTCCAGTTATTTGTAAAAATAAATGTATGGCTCTTTAATCATTTTTAAATTGTTGTGAGGGATAGGAGAGGCTCTTGGCATCTCAAAAGTTTGCCAATCTCTGGACAAGTGGAATATGCAAACATCCGTCTCTATGACCCTGAGACCAGAAGAACTATCTAGTGCCCAGCTACTCTGAAAGGGTAGCTTCACTTCACATTAGTAGGTCATGGATAGAGTGGGAGAAACACATGGAACAAAATTCAAAATCACTTTTAAAAGGTCAGGTTTATTTATCAAATAGAGACTGGAAGAACACCCAAGACAATGTTACTTAGTCACCCTTCAAGTCATCCAATTGGCTCAATGTTCAGCCAAATGATAGACAGGTCTACAAAGGGAACAAATCAGTACAGACACATTAGAATAATCAACCATGAGATCAAGGGGTCAGCATTTGCCCAAGGACAAGGTTCAGAAGTATTTTAAAAAGTAGACAAAAGACAGGTGTGTGTGTGTGATGGGTGGGGGAGTGGGGGGTGGGGGTGGGAAGAGAAGTGCTTGAAAAAGGGAAAATTGGAACAGGAATCAAAGGGAGAAAGAGGAATAAGTGATGCTAATATTGAGGGCACGGCAATCAAGGAGATCAAGCAAAATGTGTATGAATTGTTGAATGGAAAACTGATCTGCTCGGAAAACCTTCACCCAGTTCACAATATTACGTAAAGAAAACAAAGCACAACCCCCTATAGCACTGCTCTGATGCACACTGGGTGACTGGGTTTTGGAACCAATGTTCATTTTAGTAGCCAAAAAGGGAAAACCAAGATGAATGAATAAACAAAATGTGGTGTATGTATACCTATAAACAGGATCTTACTCAGCCATCGAGGAAACTGATGTACTTCATGATAAGTAAAACTAGCCAGACACAAAAGAAAGCCTCCTGCATGGTACCACTTAGATGCAGTATGTGTGCTGTTGTTGGGGGGCTGTTGAGTGGATTCAGACTCACATGAATACCAACTATAACTAATTAGTGGTTACCAGGGGGGAATAAAAGGTGAAAGGGGAGATTTTTTGCTTAGAATGCATTGAATATGTGTTAAAGGTAGTGGGATAGTTTGGAAAGACAGTGAGACTGGAGGTACAACTTAAGAATGAAGAAAATGTTGAAGAAGGTAGTCAACATCACTGAAGTATACATGTGGAAACAATGAAATAGTTAAGGTCCTTACATATATCATTATAATAAAAATGAAACAACAAATTTCTGACTTCATCCAGGCCTTTGATGATCAAGTCCTTGACTCCCCCTCTGGCCCTGTCTTCTACCACCCTCTTTCCTTGTTAGCGATGGTCGAGCCATATTTCTGGATCACCTTCTCTTCATTGCTTAAAACTCAAATCGATCACATCTAAATCAGGCCCACTGTGCTTGCCCTCCCGCCCGGTGGGACACACTCACTCCAGCTTTCCACGCACTCGGGCTTTGTTCTCTGGTTCTTTTCAGAGGGAATTCCATGACTCTCCATCACTCAGCAGCGCTATTAGTATAAGCTATAAAAACTGAAATGTTAGTTTATCGTTTCCTTGCTCATATTCTTCCTAATTGAGCCCAAGGTCTCTATTGCATGCTATTTCACTTGTTACCGGAAAACAAAGGAACCTACACATGTATATAGATTAGGCAGAGGATTTGGGGATAGGTGTGTTTACTTTTACTGCAAATATAGCCATGAATTTGGTGGTGTATACAAGAAGCAAAATAATAAAAACTTCTTAGATATCATCAAGGTTCCTCAGGGTCTGGATGGCTGTCCTTAGAATTTAGGAGCATGGTTTTGAAGGAGAGCAAAGGCAATGGGCAAAACATCCTGGGGGAATGGCAAGAGGGTCATGTCTGAGCTCGTCCTGCTACAGAAGGGAAGAGAGACCAACTTCACATCTGTCCAAGGACTATTCCTATGAGGTAGCCGTCCGACATGACACGCAACAGTCGATTTCTCTGCTGGGTCCGACAATCTGCTGCAAGGGCCACAAGAACTCACAGACAACATTCACAATTATGAGCTGTGTATTAGGGAAGTTAACAGGTCACCACAAGTCAGGTTCAGAAAGAACATGAACAAACAGTCCTTTTACTGGAGGGCCTTTTCTCAGTCCTTCCAGCAGGCATGTGTCTCCCTGGTCCTTCGCCTCTCAACCATGCGACCCCTTGACCTCTACCCTGCTGCAGGAAGTGTTGCAAAGCTGCTATATTGTTGTTGTTGTTGTTGGGTACCATCATCGCAACGCAATGCACAACAGAATGAAACACAGCCCGATCCTGCGCCATCCTCCCAATTGCTCCTAAGCCTGAGCTGACTGATGCAGCGTTGGTCCAGCACATTGAGGGCCTTCCTCTTTGTCACTGCCTCTTCCCTTTACCAACATGATGTCCTTCTCCAGGGACTGATCTCTCCTGACAATATATCCAAAGTATGTACGACACAATCTTGCCAACCTTGTCTCCTCCTAAGGTGCATTCTGGCCTTACTTCTTTCAATACAGATCGGTTTGTCCTTATAGCAGTCCACGATACTGTCAATATTCTTCTCCAGCACAATTCGAATGCATTCATTCTTCTCTGGTCTTCCTTATTCAATGTCCAACTTTCACATGCATATGATGCAATGAGAATATCATGGCTTGGGTCAGGCACACCTTAGTCCTCAAAGTAATATTCTTGCTCTTCTATACTCTAAAGAGGTCTTGTGAAGCAAATTTACCTAATGTGTCTTTTGACCTCTTGACTGCTTCTTCTATAAGCATTGATTGTGGATCCATGCAAGGCAAAAATCCTTGACAATTTCAACCTTTTCTTCATTTATCATGATGTTACCTATTGATCCAGTTGTGAGAATTGTGGCCTTCTTTACACTGAGTTGTAATCCATACTGAAGGCTACAATAATTGATCTTCAGCAGCAAGTGCTTCAAGTCCTCGGCACTTTTGGCACACAAGGTTTTGTCATCTGCATACTGAAGGTTGTTAATAAGCCTTCCTCCAATCTTGAGGCAACACTCTTCTTCATATAATCCAGCTTCTTTGATGATTTGCTCAGCATAGAGATTCCTGATGCACACCTTTTTTTACTTTAAACCATACAGCATTCCCTTGTTCGGTTCATACAACTTCCTTTTGATATGTGCACAAGTTACGAATAAACACAGTGAAGTATTCTGGAATTCCCATTCTTCTTAAGGTTATCCACAGTTTATTATGGTCCACACGGTAGAATGCCTTTGCATAGTCAATGAAACACAAGTAAAAATATTTCTGGGATTCTCTGCTTTGAGCCAAGATCCGTCTGACATCAGCGCAGACGCCCCTAGTTACACATCCTGTACCACTCACCATTTTGCCTAAAGAATTGTCCAAAATTGCAAGTCGAGGCTTGAATTTTTTCCTTGAGTTCTTGCTGACCATGTTCCTCCCTTTTCGTTTTCTTACTCTGTGTCCTTTCACATTTCGGTATATTTGGCTTTGTCTTCTCGAACTGCCCTTTGAAATGTCCCATTCTACTGGATTTCATCGTTTCTTCCATTTGCCTTAGCTGCTCGATAATTCACAGCAAATTTCAGAGCCTCTTCTGATATCCACTTAGATATTTTCTTTCTTTCCTGTCTTTAGAATGACCTTTCGATTTCTTCATGAAGACGGTCTTTGATGTCCTCCCACACAGCGCATCCAGTCTCCTTTCACTAGTGTTCAATGTGTCATGTCTGTGCTGGAGATGTTCTAGAAATTCAGGAGGGACAGACTCATGGTCGTGTTTTGACTCGTGCAGGTTTGTTTTCATTTTATCCAGCTTGAGCCTGAAGTGACGTTGGAGAGATTGATGGTCTGTGCCACATTCGGCCCCTGGTCTGGTGTTAGCTGCTGATCTGGATTAGGCTTCTCCATCGGGTCTTCCCACAGATGGTGTCAATTTTATTTCTGCGTATTCCATCTGGGGAAGTCCACTGTATAAAGGTATCCGCTGTGCACAAGTCGTTGTGTGTTTCAAAATTCTATCACGCGATAGAAAACTGCTATTTTGCAGATAATTGCTCAAAGGGAACCCCACAATGCAAGCCACCCTCCTGCCCAAAGTTCAAACGGGTTAGGAAGGAAGGAGGAATGGAAACAGTTAACACGAGGAGAAATTGCGATAAGTAATGCTATCTGGTGGGGATTACAATTAATGACATGAAACTACGTTTGTATAAATTGTGGGATGGAAAACTGTAAACTTCATCCAATTCACAATTAAAAAGAAAGTTTTAAAATAAAAAAGAAGAGACAGGAATGTGGGGCCAGAAGACACAAGATGCCCAAGAAATGACTTGATAAAAGGCTGGTTTATATTTAAGTGTCATTTCCCCATGTGCCACTAGAGGCTGCCCAATGCAGAAGCAGAACCAACAGACACAAAAACTAAAGAAATCATGTGGACTAGCAAGAGAAAAAAGGAAGCCAATGCATGTGCCTCTTAAATTTAGGGGTGAAAACCCAGGTCCCTCTAACTAAATTCAAATTTCATTCTAAGTAGATATAAAAGTCTCCTTAAAAACAACCACGATTAAGTTAAAAGCAGCAAGTATGCTCTGGAGGATCTTCTGCCATTTGCCCAGTTTTGCTCTTCCGACAAAGAACCCTCGAGCTGCGGCTGGGCTTCTCCACTTCATAGCCCTATGACACCTGTGGAGGGTGTTTGGCACTTGCCCCTCCACGCCCCCACCCCTCACTCTTCCTTCATCCTGTTCTGTGCCTTAAGGTGTGCATCCACATGGAAGATGCTGGTAGGAGCCCGGAGGGTGGAAGCAGTAAAGGTTGGGAATGCATTCTCGACATGGCACCAGGATTACGGCAGGCCCCCTGCATCCTTCTTCTGAAGGCCATGACCCCCTTCTCACTCCCTGCCATGGAGCCACTGCTAACTCACAGCGACCCCTGTGGGTTTCCCGAGACTGTAACTGGTTAAAGGAATAGGAATCCCAGTCTTTCTCCTGAGGAGCTGCTGGTGGTTTCAAACTGCTGACCATGTGGATTGGAGCTCAACACTGAACCACTATAGCATCAGGATTCCATACAACCCTCTTAGACAATCCTATCTTGTGATACAGATATTCTCTCTTATTCTGGTAAATGTTCCCTCTCTTTGCCCCTTTAGGCCAAAGGAAATCAACTACTCTGGGTTGATTCACAAGTCCCTCTGAAATTCCCTTAACTTGATAAACACAATTGCACACAGTCCCTTTATGAAATTCTTCTCAGTGACTCCCTCGAATATGTCCTCCTGTGCTGTCAGGAACCTGACATTATGTGAATGGAAGGCATGCAATTGTCGGCCATATACTCCACTTCCTGCGTACATATGTGCATAGGCATAAATGCTTCAAGCTGGGCGTGAGCATATTCTGTTCAAAGTTCATTCATTAATCATCTGTATGTAAGATTAGCGGGCCCATGGTGATGAAAAAAATTTGAATGATCTTTTCATTTAGTTTATATAATCAAGAACCATTATTTGAGTCTTCGGCTCAAATAATGGCTCTTGATTATATAAACTAAATGATTGCCACTGCACATTTTGTCACTGAGATGGTTATTTGAACTAATTTTCTAGTTCAATTTTACCCATCTAATTTCTCTTTCGCTCCCCACCCCACCCCTCTTAGTGGTAGTTTTTCAGCCCTTACAACTTCACGCCATCCCTATGGAACAGAGGATGCACTCAGCTGTTCAGTTTAAAAGGACGTACTTAAGATTAAAGTACTATGTACTTGTATATGTTACATAAGAACACAGTTTATCAGATGGGTAACATCGTTGAAGAATGCCAGCTTCCTTGCCACTCAAGAGTGGAAGCGGTCACCTGGGAGAACCGAGGGAGCAGTAAGTGGCAGCAGTTTGAGATAGCAATAGCCGGGAACTGAAAGGTCGACATCCTTCTCATCACCCTCATCCTCTTCATCCAGCTCATCAGATACCGGGGTTTCTGGTCTGATCTGAAACAATCACAAGTGATGCAGTGAGAGAAAGGTCTTGTTTGCGTCAAAACTGAAAAACTGAGTTAGCCTCCACGACGGGATAATGTCAAAAAAATCATAATAATTAAAAAAAACACCTGGTTGTTTACTAGATTAACTGGTAAGCTCTCATAATCTCAGTCAATGCATAATTGCAGTTCCTTGTGCAGAACAAATCATAATACAGTAAGAAAATCTCCCTAAACCAGTGTAAGCAATGATTATTACAGAAAACTAATACCATTTTACACCATGAGACAATAAAATGCAAACACTGACACATCCAATATATTACACTTCCGTGGCCTATAATTAAATATTTGCCTTGTCTGACTAGTTCAGGCTTTCCTTTGTTTATTTTTTAAATTTGTGACACTAGCCCACATCTCTACGCCAAATCTTAAAATGCCTCCAATAGAACATGTAGGAGGGTCAGGGAGGGGGAGGATGCTTAAGATGAGTTTTCTTTTTTGTTAAGACTCGGCGGTTTGTTGCTATGGAATATAAAACACTGACCATATTTTACTGTCATCTTTGCAATCTGAAAGACTTGGTGATGGTTTGGTGATTACTTTGTTTGAACCAATAGTTAAAAAAAAAAAAAGAAGGAAGATTACCACTACTGTAGTTTCCACATGATATAACTGTTTATTAATTTTTAATACTTTCAATGACACATCATCATAATGCTCACATGGAAACAATCAAGCATTAGGGGAGGAAATCAAAATATATAAAAGTAGTTGCTATAACCATAAAGTGCCAGAACCTAGTCATTACCATTAGCCTGTCTCCCGGAGTTATTTTTAGAAATAATGAACAATTCTTGCAGACTGCCTTCTTCATAGGCCCCCAAAGTACTATTCCATCGAGGAACTGCCCTGAGTCAGGATTCTTGCAGGGGATAAAAGACAACAGAGAAGACATGCTTCTCTTAAGTATAATAAGCTCCACTCCAATGAAGCCTTTCAACCCTAACTAGTGTTCTCTTCAGTTCTTCAGTAGTCAAGGGAGGGTAAAAACCTCCTGACTACCTGAGAGCTCTCCAAGCTCAGACTTAATTCTAGTTCATTCTTAAGGACCTATTTCTCGAGGGCTGAGCTAGCCATAATTACAGAGCTAACAATCAGGATGTCTCCCTGATACGGCATGACAGCATTTGTTGACATCAATGCACACCAGAGAGACGATTTGCAAACCTTTGAAAAATGTTTAGGTTCTGACAAACGGAATTGCCAAATGCCCTTGGTCAGAGAACTTACATGGAACTTAACAGGTTTACCTTTATCAAGGGTTGTATTCATGATTCAAACCAGTTCTAGTTGCCTAAAAATGTCCTGAACAAGATGTTGGCCCTAGACCACTTTGCTATGTGTTCTGAGTTGTTACACAAACTAAAAGTAGTTTGTGAACAGCCTCCCGGAGGAGACAAGGCAGTGCTCTTGGCTTGAATACATATCAGCTGGAGACTAGACAGGCTACTAGTATCGGTGCACCCCAACACACTGTGAAGCCCAGCCCAGCCCAACACAGTGCTGGGAAACTCTGTCACATGGCACACTCATAGGTGACAGGAGACTTGGGGAGGTGTTGTGCAGAGGGAAGTACTTTGGCCAGGGTGCAAATGCAGAGGGCTAAGAAGAGAATGTGGACACTGAGGGTAGAAATGTAAAGTAGCTTTACCACCTCAAAAAAAAAAGCTTGACCAAAAAAAGAGGAAATATAGTTACCCTACAGCAAAGCAGTACCACTCACAGGTATCCAAGGGAAATAAAAATATATACACACTTGCACACAAATGCTCATAGAAGCATTTTCCATAGTTGCCCCAAAGTGAAAGCAACTCGAATGCCTTGACAAAATGTGGTCTGTCCATAAAATGGAGTATTACTTAATCATATCAACTATTGATATATGCCAAAGTATAAACGAGCCTTGTAAATTTATTCTACGTAAAAAAAAAAGGCAGTCTGAAAGAATCTGGTAATATTCAATTTATGTGAAATGTCAAAAAGAAAAACGACAAATTGAAATAGAGGGACTTCCGGAAAGATGTCGATGGTGTAACACATACCAGAGGGACTCTGCAGAATTCAGCCCAGGAGAGTTACTTAGAGGGAAATTCAACACTGCTGGAACACAGGAGGAGCATCATAAAGATATGTAGGCACAGACCCACAAGGTTTTGAGGGGCTGAGGGCTTTTGGCTTACCTCAGTGGAAGCTGGCTGGGGCTTGACCTTAGCCCTGCCACTGTCTCTGCTGGAGCAGGGACCATTTGGGGCCCGTAAAGGGGCTTAATCTCAGCACAGCCACAGTTTGCGGACACCTGCCTTTGGGCAGGGACTAAACCCTTGCAGCTCCATGGGCAGGGATTGGGGCTCAGCTACATTGTTACTTTTGTTTCTCTCTCTTCCTAATGACCCCCACAGTCTTGGAGAGCTGCACAGGGGTTTTTTTCTCAATACAGCCACAGCTTGCCACTACCGTCTCGAGCACAGACGAAACCTTTGCAGCTCCAAAGAAAGGGATTGGGACTCAGCTAAATTGTTACTTTTGTTGCCCTCTCGTCTCTATATCCCCCCACAATCTCAGCGGGCATACATTTAAATTTTTTCTCTCCTCTTTGTCTCTTTCTTGTTCTCTCACACTCCAGTGCTGACCTCAAGACCACTCCCCTTAGCCTAGGGCAATTATGCCTGTGCCACACACAGCTAGGTGAGCTCCACCCTGTGCAACCAGCTTCTTACCAGGGAATTCCTGCCTGTGTGCCTGGGGGTCTAAGGCAGCTCGGCCAACACTAGTCAATGTTCGAAGCTGCTGCAGGAACCTCTGCAACACCAAAGCAGGCAACCCATCAGCCTTCTGGGGCACTCCCCTGAGAGGGAAGCCACAGGAGGATAAAGTGGTAGGTTAATTCCATAGTGAAATTAGCTGTAGGCAGTTCAAAGCATGACTACAGGTCTCCCAGAGAGAGCCAGTGCTCTTCAACTCCCTGGAAAATGGCACCTGACTCCTCTACAACAACACAATGCAAACAGCCATCAGCCCCAACGACCTCAATGAATAAACAGAAGAAACAAAAGGAAATGGCATAAGTATGTCCTGAACATAACAACATGCATAGAAGCAGCAGACATTGAGCTGCCACAGAAAGAAATTTTCAGAATGCTGTTTGGAGTCATAAAGGATATGAGGGAAATAATATAGAAAAAGGATGAAATGATAGAAGAGATAAAGGCCATACACCAAAGGGAAATACAGGAGCTTAGGGAGGAGATAACAAGAACCAGAAGCAGGAACACAGACCTCGAGAATTGACTGGAGGAAGCAGTGACTTGGAGAACAGCCAAGCAGACTTTTGCAAACAAAAATCTAATAAGATCATCAGAGAAGTTGAAAAAAACCTAAGAGCTATGTCTTATGCTATGCAGTGGAAAAACATTAGAATTATTGGCTTACCCGAGGAAGACAGAACAAAGAAGTCATCGGCAACAATAGTGAGAGAATTCTTGGAGAAAAACTTCCCCAACTTAATGAATGGAAACCAGGAAACCAATCAGGAGGCTGAAAGAACACCAGCTAGACCAAATCCCAAGAGGAAGTCACCAAAGCACATAATAGTTAAAATATCCAACTTTGAGGAAAAGGAGAAAATCACGAGAGCAGCTAGGGAAAAACAAGCAATCACATATAAAGGCTCCCAAATATGAATATGCTCAGACCTATCAGCAGAAACTGTGAAGAAGAGGAGAGAGTGGAGTAACATATTCCAAAAATTAAAGGAAAACAACACAAACCCAAGAATATTCTACGCAGCCAAATTATCGATCAAGATAGATGGAGAAGTAAGTCTTCCCAGACAAGGAAAAACTCAATACGTTAGCAGAAACACAGCCCTACAAAAGATCCTTGTCAACCCAGTATGGGCAGAAGAACAACACTCACCAAGCATAAATAAGACACCACCACATAGAACAACCTCACAAAGAGGGCAACAAAGAAAAAACAGACCCCAAGATAGCACTGGTTTAAAAATGGAAAGAGGGGCAGACCTCTCCGGTAACAGCTCGAGGCGGACCGGGGCCGCCAGCTGGGTCGGAGCGGAGCGGCGTCAGGATGGATGAAGACCTGCTGACCACCCTCAAGATTCTCATCATCGGCGAGAGTGGGGTGGGCAAGTCCAGCCTGCTGTTGAGGTTCACAGATGATACTTTTGATCCTGAACTTGCAGCAACAATAGGTGTTGACTTTAAGCTGAAAACAATTTCAGGGAATGGAAATAAAGCCAAACTTGCAATATGGGATACTGCCGGTCAAGAAAGGTTCAGAACATTAACTCCCAGCTATTATAGAGGTGCACAGGGTGTTATATTAGTGTATGATGTTACAAGAAGAGACACCTTTGTTAAACTGGATAATTGGCTAAATGAATTGGAAACATACTGCACAAGAAATGACATAGTCAACATGCTCGTTGGAAATAAGATTGATAAGGAAAATCGTGAAGTTGATAGAAATGAAGGTCTGAAATTTGCCTGCAAGCATTCCATGTTGTTTATAGAGACAAGTGCAAAAACCTGTGACGGTGTACAGTGTGCCTTTGAGGAACTGGTGGAAAAGATCACCCAGACCCCTGGACTGTGGGAGAGTGAGAACCAGAATAAAGGAGTGAAGCTGTCACACAGAGAAGAAGACCAGGGTGGAGGAGCGTGTGGCAGCTACTGCGCTCTGCTATAAACTCTGGGGACGCATTTGATCACATAATGACATCCTTCCTATACATAAACTCTCCAACTGCTCTTTTAGGGACCTTGTAGTTTGCACATAATTTGTTTGCATCATGACAGTAAATAGTTGCAGGAAATTCCACTCATTGGCTTTCCCAGGTAATGTTATGGTAAGCATGCACAGTTTGCAGTCTCTATTTTTTTAAAAAAATGTAACATAAAATAGGTGTCCCTTTAGAAGTACATTTGATTTTATGATTTACATTTATCATGTAATGTTAAAAAAATCCATTTATTTTAGTATAAGTTGATACAAGGTCTGCTTTTGATCTCCTTTTTGCTTGAATTTTCCTATTGATTACTGAATTACTTGGAACCTGGGCCTCCCAGGCCCACAGGGAGCTCAACATCTATCCTCAAACCTGGCACATCTTCTTTCCGGTATAACAAGGAGCATGATTCCACAGCTTTTCTAGGATGTTGGCGGACAGATTCTCTCTTAGTATAAAGAAAACTTCTGTTCACGAAGAGTAGCCCTGGCCAACTTATAATTAAATCTCTTTTTGTTCTGATGATGCCTTTAAAGTAGCATTGAGTTGTTAAGGGAGTTTGGTCTTTTAATAAACTCGAGTGGGTAACTCCGCTTCACTCGAGCATTTGTTCTGTGACATGTACAGTGGACTCAGGGCCCTTTGGTCTGTGGCAATTGGCAGTGACAGTAAAGATTTCCCCCATTTTGGTTCGTTAGGACGTGGGTAGCGTATTTATGATAACTCATGCAATTCTTACGAATTTTAAAACCAACTCCCCTTTTTCATAAACGTTGGTAGTGTTTGTCCAAGTACCTCAATTATAACGTGTATAATGTTTATGAATATCTGTATCTTATGGCTTCTGTAAATGGCTAGTTGATACTCACAAACCTCTCTCTGTATTTTGAGGTGTGGGAGGAGGAAAACCAGAACAAAACACTAAAGGGCAGTTTGAGAATGGCATATTGCTCCCGGATTCTGATGTGTGTGCGGAAAATACTGCTGCAGTGAAAAATCTTGATAATTTACTGTAACAGGTAGCCAATAGTGTATACCCAAACCAACTTGTACAGACTAATAAATCTTTTCCACAGTAAAAAAAAAAAAAAAAAAAAGAATGGAAAGAAGTCAAGAATGATACACACACACACACACACAACACACTAATGATAAAGGAAAGTAGAAAAACACCCAACACAAAGGGTATAAGATGACATCACAGAGTCCACGAACTGGGAAAACATCTTTAGCAATGACACATCAGACAAAGGCCTTATTACTGAAATCTACAATACTCTACTAGCTTCCAAAGAGAAAAAAACGAATTGTCCACTGAGGAGGTGGGCAAAGGACCTAAACAGAAGTTTCACAGGGGCAGAAATCCGAATGACCAATAAGCATATACGAAAATGCTCCCGATCTTTAGCCATAAGAGAAATGCAAATTAAAACAACAATGAGGTACCACCTAACAACCTCAAAGATAGTCCAATTCAAAAAATCAGAAAGCAACAAATGTTGGAGGGGCTGTGGGGAGACAGGAAATCTCATCCACTGCTAGTGGACCTGTAAGTATGTACAGCCACTATGGAAATCGATCTGGCGATATCCAAAACAGATGGAAATTGAGTTACCATATGACCCAGCAATCCCCCTACAGGGAAAATATCCAGAAGAGGCAAGAAACAAACCAAGGATAGACACCTGTGCTCCAATGTTCATTACAGCACAGTTCACAATTGCAAGGAGTTGGAAACAACCCAAATTTCCATCAACTGATGAGTGGATTAAAAAGCTGTGGTATATACATACAATGGAATACTACGCATAGCTGAAAAGCAGTGATGAATGTATGAAGCACATCACTACATGGGAAGAACTGGAGGAAATCATGCTAAGTGAAGTAAGTCGAGCACAAAAGGACAAGTACAACATGAGTCCACTGAGGTAAGCTTTAAAAAAAAATGCAAAAGGTGCATAAGGAAAAGGCTACTGTATACAAACATTCCTGGGTTGAGGACCAGGTAACATGGCATGGACCAGACCAAATACCAGCATACATATAGTAGACAAGTAAAAAGGAGGTGGGTAAAGGAAAAAATAATAAAAATACAAAGGAAATGGGTAGCAGGGGCACAAAGCACTAACCCACCCAAGTGGAGGGTATTGTTTATATCTCCATGGGGAAAGAAGGACCAGACTTCAACCCAGTGCTCCAAGATGTGAAGGCAACATGCCAAGATAGGGAACCAGTGGAGAGGTCTGGGGGCATGGCCCCAATCCCAAGTACTACACGGATACCTGCCCCTCCCCGCAGAAGAATTTATTTCAAAGGACAGCATTGAATCTGCAGCTCCAGGAGAGGGACATATCTGACAGGAGCACACGGGAACAGATGAAGGGGGAGGAGGAGAGAGTGGAGCACATCCCGGCCCACCAGACCATGAGGAAGATGTTCCCAATTAGAGCAGCCAGTCAACAGAGAGGACCACATGGCCGGCCCCATTATGAGACATGACTCACTGACCCATAGCCCTACAGGGGCCAACACCTAAGACACAGTGTGGGAACTGCTCCCAATCTGATCCCGCCACACTGAGGCAAAACACTAAGGGGGTGCAACCTAAAAGAAAGGGAATGGAGGTCCCAGGGAATGCTGAAGGTGGACTTTGGAGCCAGGGCATGGTGCCCCAACAGACTGGATTGGAAAACACCCCTAAATGCCAACAAACCATCCTTGAACAAGCTTTTTTTTGGTTGTGTTTTGTTTTGTTTTTTGGTCATTGTTTTGTTGTGGTGGTGGTTTTGCTGTCTTGTTTTTGTGCATGTTATTATCTCCGCAGGTCTGTCTAAATAAGATAGGCTGGATGAACAATCTGGAGGAGAAAAGAACGGGACCGACAGTTCCAGGCAGACATGGGAGAGAAGGAGGTGGGGGGAAAAGTAGTGGTGTTAAAAAACCCAGGGACAAAGGAATAACAAGTGATCCAAATTGGTGGTGAGGTGGGTGTGGGAGGCTTGGTAGGGCATGATAAAGGGTAATGTAACCAAGAGGAATTGCTGAAACCCAGGTGGGGACTGAGCAAGATACTGGGACAGGAGGAAAGTCAAAGGAAATAGAAGAAAGAGGTGGGAGGCAAAGGGCATTTATAGAGGTCTAGATAAAGACATGTACATA